AACTTTTTGCAAAACTCATTGCCTCTCCAATTTTTTCACCAATTAGCATACATGAGTGTTGGGGTAATTGGACCAACACAAGATAGACACAATACCACCGCGGGCAAGCAGACCCTAGGACCAGGCAGCTCCACCTGCACGGCACAAGATTCTTGAAAAAATCTCTTATGCCATTGTTGGAGGGCTCTCAGCTTCCTAGTTCCTACCTCAACATATTTGGCAGGAAAGTGAGGATTTGGATAGAAAGCACATTTAATTCACCAGATATTAAAAAACTTATGATATGATTGGGGCCTAGCCAATCAAGTTTCGTCACATCACCACCACTACCTACCTAATGATAGTATAAATATGCCATTGTTATTTGTTAGAGGTTGACAACTTGTATACACTTGATTTATCTTTTTTCTCATACTTCTTTTGTACTCTCACCTTAAAATAGAGACTCAGCGCTCAAGTCGGTAAAGTGTGTTGTAATTGTTCTAAGTCTTTAATAGAACTTGGCTCACTTACCTTTCTACTCTTTCTTGCAATTCTTGCTAATATTTGTGCCACAAAACAGCTAACTAATCCAATAGAATATATCCAAGCCATCAATATACAATGAAAACCCTAGCAAAAACCGGTGGACGTAGCTCAACTGGTAGCGAGGGAGTGTCACAAGGGTTAGGTCCCGGGTTCGAATCCCAGCAACTGAAATGAGAGATTACTATGCTAAAAAATGCATAGGACCTCTGCAAGTACATGGGACATAGCTCCACTCTCTATCTGTCAGATTGGGATTATAGTCCAGTTTACATCCTCCCAACGTACCGTCAGATCACAGAAGTTAATTAATGTTTTTATTGCATAAAAAAATCACAGTCACCGAAAATGGTTACTCATGGTTGAGGTTTATTCCTCTATTTGGGGCCTCAAGGATGGGATATCATCCTTTTTTTTTAAACCCTAGCAAAAGTGTTGGGTCCTTCGATAGAGGAATAAACCAACCATGAGTAACCATTTTCGGTGACTGTGATTTTTTTATGCAGTAAAAACATTAATGATTTCATGTGGCATCCATTGAGAAGTGACAAAAAATTGATTCACTTTTCATCTTAAATAAAAAATGACATAGTCAACGAAGCAACACTACCAGTACTGACAGGTCTTGCAGACACGGTATTTGCTAAAAGTCAACAGCCACGAATCAAGTAACCAAATTGAATACTCGTCGTATACTTATTTCATTATATTTCCGCCGGATTGCCCATAATAGCCGCCGCTCTGTAATCTGTAACATATTTTAGCTATTCATTCTTCATCTTCTTCGGGAAAACGAATAGAAATGAGCAGTTCACACCTGATCTGGGTCTGTACTCTCCTGATTTCCAGCTCCTTGTTGGTTCAAGCTCAACAGCCGTATATCCGGAAGGACACTGGTTGCGACGGCCGCGCAAGCAATACCGCCGATAACTCTTCCTCCGCCTTTGGGTACATCTGCAACGGTGTTAGCCGGAGCTGCCAGGCTTACCTGACAATCGTATCGCAGCCGCCGTTCAACTCCGTCTCCTCCATCTCCGGCCTGGTTGGAGCTGACCCGTCAAAGCTCGCCCAAATCAACTCTGTTCCTCAAAATTCAACCTTTGGGACAAACAGGGTCGTCCTCGTCCCCGTAACCTGTTCTTGCTCAGGCCAGTTCTACCAGGCCAATGGATCATACACTTCTAGGCATGGAGATACCTTTATAGGAATCTCGAATGACCCTGTACAAGGTTTGTCTTCCTGTCTGACTCTCCTGTCTCAAAACAGGAAGATAGTTCCAACTCTGTTATCATCTGGTACTAGGCTTTCGGTTCCTGTAAGGTGTGCTTGTCCGACGAAGAACCAGAGTGATAATGGCGTTAAGTATTTGTTGAGCTATGTGATTTTATCTGGGCAGTCTGTTTCTATAATCAGTCAAAAGTTTGGGGTTGACACAGAGAAAACCCTAGAGGCGAATGGGCTATCTTTTCAGGATTCAACCATATACCCAAACACGACTCTACTTGTTCCTCTTCAGAACAAACCATCAAGTATCCAGGTTGTGGAACAGCCATCTCCGCCGCCTCCGCCACCCTCGCCGCCACTACTCGGTCCTGCACCAAGTAAAAGCTCAAGCAAGACCTGGATATATGTAATAGCCGGTGTTCTAGGAGGAATTTTGTGTTTATCACTTGCAGGCGGGCTTGTTTTCATGTTCTGCATCAGAAAAAGGAAAAGAAAAACCGATCCCGAGCTGGTATCTGCCGACTTCGTTGGAGATGAGAAGCCATTGACGAAGAAATCGGAAGAGGGTTCGGATTTGTCTTATTCAAGTGTATTTGAATTAGTGCAATCTGTTAAGATCTACACCTTCCAAGAGCTGAAGTCGGCGACAGAAAACTTTAGCCCTAACTGCTGGATTCGCGGATCGGTATATCGTGGCAAAATAAATGGAGATTTCGCGGCGATCAAGAAGATGAATGGAGATGTGTCAAAGGAAATTAATCTGTTGAGCAAGATCAACCATTTCAATCTCATAAGCCTCTCCGGCATCTGCTTCAATGACGGAGACTGGTACCTCGTCTTTGAATATGCTGAAAACGGGGCATTGAGTGATTATTTACGTGGAAAGTCTTTCCTGACGTGGACACAGAGGATCCAAATTGGACTTGATGTGGCGACGGGGCTTAACTACCTACACAGCTACACTACCCCTCCACATGTTCACAAGGACTTAGAGAGTGGTAACATTCTTCTTGATCGCAACATGAGAGCTAAAATAACGAACTTTGGTCTGTCCAGGTCAGCAGACGGACAAGAAGGCGAGTTCGCATTGACAAGGCACATAGTTGGGACAAAAGGCTACATGGCGCCAGAGTATTTGGAGCATGGTTTGGTTTCCCCGAAGCTAGACGTGTATGCCTTCGGGATTCTTATGCTAGAGATACTCACTGGGAAGGACATTGCCACATTGCTAGAAGGTCATGACAAGATGCGTCCCGTTTCGGAACTTCTACTCCCTGTGGTACAAAAGGAAACTGGGAAGGAGCATTTGGTCAGTTTCATGGATCCTAGTCTCGAACCGAGGGAGTATCTTGCAGATGTTGGTGTTTCGTTGGTGAGATTGATTGGTAGTTGCTTGCAGAAAGATGCATCGAGTCGGCCCAATATGGATGAGATTGTCCAGCACTTTACTAAAGCAATTAGCGCTACAATCTCTTGGGAGTTGTCCTCAACCACTTAATAATCTTTACCTGTTTGGTGGTGGTATAAGAACTTATACTATACCTCACTAGTTTTGTATATGCATTCCTCCCAGATTCATAGATCCACACATGCCTCTATATGTGATATGGTTCTTCTGTCAGTATAAACAGGTGATTCTCAAATCATTCTATGCATTCAATAGTGCCTATCAACATTGAGGAAAAAATTTCTATCCTTGAACATGGACAGCAAGATATTACGATTATTCGTGTGTGGGAATTCAAGAGCCTCCAATCTTGGTGAAATATAGTTCACATTCTGTGTAGTGTTCACCTATAAAGATGCACACTAAGAACAAAGAGTGAGAAAAAGATAAACCTCTAAGGTGGAGGTTTTTCTGTAATTTTATTTTGTAAGCAATAGAAGATTCTTTCCTCCACAGTGATTGCATTGTAAGGTATCTACCTAGCTTCAAGATTAAATCTTAGTTGCCTTTACTTTTCCTACTCAGACCGGCCAAGAGTTCTATTTTGTTAGAATATCACAACAAGCAAGTGAATAAAAAACAGTGAGTTAATAAGACTGGGTTGAACATGTTAATAGATCGATTCAATCTCTTAGTGTTATTTGGCTCGGGTTTCTTCTAGTTCAGTGACCTAATCCAATTCTTTTACTCTATCTCAGTATCAGTGCAATTTGGTTCAGTGTGGCTTGTGGCCAAGTACATCAACCCGCTAGATGAATATTACCTAGCTGTCGGTCCATGGACTCCAAGGCCGACTTATTCTATTTACATTTCTAACTTGGGACTCCAACACTTAACAATGACAAAAAACAAGATGACTAAGTGATTGAATGTAGCAATAGTCATGACCCTTGACAGATAGAGAACCCGTGCAATTTAATCGGAATTTCAATTATGGGGGCAAATTTGAACTATGTGTTTGATGTTCCACAAATTTGGGAGGCTAAGGGGGCTTTATATTTTATTCTTACCAGTCCTTATTTGTCCAGAACCAAACCATAACTTATTTGTCCAGATAAGGTTCTGATTACACGGGACTGGAGTTGGACTGGAAATGGCCAAGGTCCACCCTGCTTGTAATTCAGAGATACTATCTTTAAGATTTTTTGGGGAATTTATTTACAATAGTTACACGTTAGTAAGAGGTCAAAATATTTTCAGATTGTTTTACATAAAAACCGATATTTGACAAAATTTTAGACATTCCAAACTGATAGTGTATTCCTCAATGATAAATTAAACAAATAGTGACAGTGTGGAGGAAAGAATCTTCTATTGCTTAACAAAATAAAATTACACTAATCAAACTTACTCAACTACAAAATAAATTAAACAATGATAAATTATGCAACCCTAATACGGAGTATATAATCAGAAATTTAGTAAAGCATTAACTGCTTAAATTATCACGATCAATATTATTTTCACAATATACTGCACCCTATAACATGTTTTTATGGGGATCCATTACATTTGATTTCTATGTGTTCAATCCTATACAGCTGGTGTGCAAGCGAAGGGTAAATTGATGCATGTACAAGTATGTACTGAATGAACTCTGGATTCAGGAATTCGAAAGCCTCTTAGCACGGAAAGTTTCCAGTAAGCCGAATATGGTCAAGTGTACTCTTCAAGCCATACTTGAGCACTGCCTTGTTTCCTTCTCTGAATCCATCCCCATAAGCTGCAGAAGTATCTGATTCTATCTGGTGCTTGAAAAACTCCCCTACACTCTTCTCAAACTGTGAACGGTTACCCTTTTTTGAAGAGGTGGATGATGATGATGACAATGATGATGAAGGTGAAGTTGTCGAAGAAGACGAGGATGAGGACGAAGTAGATGCAGTGCTACTACCAGAACCAGCTAAGATTTCAGAGTCCAACCACATGTGAGCTAAGACTTGACAGATGCCTTCTTCCACTCCTGGGCTTAGATTGGGATAACCTGAATGTGCTCGTAACGTTAGCTTAGAATATTACATTTCAATTTTCAAAGTAATTGTAAGAACCCCATTTAGTATATCAGAGCAGTGTGATTAGTCCTGTGGCAATGCAGTTTTGTCAGCTCCCTTTACCCCCCCCCCCCCCCCCCCCCCCCAATAATAAGGAAAGAGAAAATAAAATGAAACACATTGTCAATTTTGAGTGAACGAGAGGAACCTTTAAGCCGCAGATATGCATGCATCATTTCATGAGCCAAGATTGAACCAGTCAGCAATCTGAACAGGCAATCAACATCAACATTCTAACATCAGCTTATTTGAGAGAGAAGTTAGCTTTAATGTTTGACCTCATATCTGATGCTGGCTCATTTGAGAGACCAATCTTAAAATTTGTGTGCTTATCCGGATCAATCACTCCTTTTGAGTGTAATTAGCTTTAATATCAGATTAAATCTAGGAGTACGTCTGTACGTGAGTTCAATATTTATATTTGACAAGTATCGGACGACTTGACAGAAAGTAGTAGTGATTACCTCGGAAGACCATATAAGATGAGGATTGCTGTGACTTCACATCTCCGAATTAGCCTGTATGGTTCTGTGAACATATCCGTGATCCTATAACCCCCGATTCTTGGCCGCTTTAAAATCTGAAATTTGTTTCTAGTAAATGACACAAGTCAAATTGGTAGATTTCAGTTTTAATTTAATTGGTCACCGAGAGAGAGTCATACCGTGCTGACTGTCTGCTCTTCTGACAAGCAAAGTCCTCTTGTTTCAGCCATGTGATGATGGCCCTGACAACAAAGGATTTTTTTTAGTGATTCTAATCTTAGTTTCCAAACAGTAAAAAAAACAAGACTAAAAGATGTTTCAGCTGCCTCACATTCTTTTCTCCTTCCATGGCTTCATTCAATGCTTGCCTCTCAACTAAGAGTAATGGAATTTGCTGCTCTACTTTCATATTTAGACCTTCATAGAAATCTCGAATTTCAAGATACAAAGGCTGGCATTCATGAGTATCCATTATTGCAGAATCAAGACACTCCAGACACAGTTTCCTCCCATCATCAAGTATCAAATATCTGGTATCTACTTGCTGCATAAACAAAGAATGTTTGGATTTTTTAAGCATAAGATTAGGTATTGCACTTTTGCAATACTTGAATGTTATATAAGAAAGAAAAAATTCCACTTTTGGTCCCGTGACTATTATAACACTTCCACATTTAGTCCCTTACTTTCAGATTGTCCACATTTAGTCCGTGACCATTATCCCCTCACCACCCCTCGTCCTTCAGGCCAAAATTCCGGCAAATTTAATGCAGATTTAGGTATGAAAAACCAAATTTAATGCAAAGACTGATATGAAAAACCCAACCTTATATAAAATTTAATGCAAAGACTGATTCTGAGGCTGATAAGTGGACTAAATTTGCCGGAATTTTGGCCAGAAGGACGAGGACTGGTGATGGGATAATGGTCACGGACTAAATGTGGACAATCTGAAAGTAAGGGACTAAATGTGGAAGTGGTATAATAGTCATGGGAACAAAAGTGGAATTTTTGCTATAAGAAAAATACCCAAATGTCTTATATGTTAGTTTATTAATTTGTATTTAACCAGCAAATTCTTCAAAGTTCGAATACTTGATCTCGACAGTGTAGTTGTTTTATAGGACCCATATCATGGATATATCATATCTATTCTTAGAAATCAATTTGAAAACGTCAGCATACCTCCATTCTCTCACAGCTGCAGCAGCGAGGTGTCCTATCATTTTCATGCGAAGGGCAGTACTTTTGAAGCCAGAAAGGATGTGCTCTATATTCTATAAGACCGGCTGCATTTGTAGGGATCTGGAAACACATTTGGACCGGAGATAATTAGAGTGTATTAGGCACACGTGGGATTTCAAGATTCATATAAAGAGATATATCTCAAATTGAACAAAGATATAAATATATAAATCATCATGTCATGTCTTGCAGCACTCCTCTTATTAAACATCCAGTACAGCTCTGTAAATAGATGCTTACAAAGTTTTTGCAAACATCACATTTTGGGTGATGCTGTTCCTTGTAGCAGGACTTGTGGAATGGACGATTTTCAGACACTGAAAACTACATGCAAAGATGAAAGAGAGAGAATCGTTAAAATCATAATGACAGATGGAGGATCGTTGTTCTTTCTCCTAAAATAGAAATTAAACATAACACATTTTTTCAAAGAGGAGGATCATTGTTCTTTCACGAAAATAGGATTTGTCCACTTCTAATAGAAGAACTATTAATTGTGTAGTACTTGTTTAGGACTGATGGGTGTTAGTTTTAGCATAAAACACACACTCCTATTTTGTAAAGGTGGATTTATAGGCACCAAACCTCATAGTCAGAAATTGGAAGTTTGCAAGCATTGCATTGGAAGCATTCAGGGTGCCACACAGCTCCCATGCAACTTAAAAATCTTCCATGACCAATTTCTGCATTGCAACCAGCACAAATCCTATATACAGGTGGATACAGTAATGCAAATGGGGAAAATAAACTTCCATAACCATTATTTCTTGGCGGGGACTCCATATCTATACTCTCCTGAAGAGCCCTTGCTAATTGTTCATCTTCCTCAATATTAGTTTCGGCTTCAACCCATTAATAGAAAACAAGAAGAAATTCACCAATGAGTATTGTAGCATTAAAAGCATCAAGATCAGTAATAAAAAAAAATAACTATTGTACATCGTCTCTTTCATAGCATCAGTAAGGATACTATTTTTACTGCTATAAACGTGACTTTCTTTCAATGGAGCCTCTATTTTACCCAAATCCCAACATTCATAAAATTGCAATCCCAGGGAGAATGTTTGGTGTTAAAACCTCACATAAGAAAATTAAAGATGGAATGATAGGTTAATTAGGACGTGTTCACATCAACTTCAACACCAGACTTTTACCAACGAAACTTAAACAGACTACATCAGCCTAACACTCCATAATAATAATATACACATCAATCAAACCAGACCAGAGAAAACAATTAAACTTAAGCAAGCTATACAGAGTACAGACAGACTAGCACTCAATAACAATAATAATAATAATATACATATAAATCAAAAGCAGATCAGAGTAGATTAATTTAGACCAGACTTCAACAAACGGACAAAAAGTTTAGACCGGACCAGGAATTTTTAATCCAAATGAACCGGCCCTAAGACCTTAGGTTGAGCCTAGTAATGGATTCAATATATCTAAGTGACTAATATTCTTTATGTACTCCCTCCGGTTCTTATTAAAGTTCCCAGTTTGACTTCACACATATTAAGAAAGTGAATTTGACTTTACTGTGGAGTGCACTGTTTGGACACTATTTGGCACTGTTTGGAACTGTTTTTCATTGTTTTGTTTTCCAAAATGGAAGTGTGAACTTAAATAAGGGACATCCCAAAAAGGAAAGTGAGAACTTTAATAAGAACCAGAGGGAGTATAAAAAAGTGTCTCATATTCCATTTGAGTGACCTCAACCCAATATTGAATTCTATCACATAGTATAGTGCTATAGTCCCTACTTAAAAGGGTAAAGTACTAGTCATATACTGTGACCAATCATTCAGCTTGCTTTATTTTTTTACACATGGAACTTTATGCTGTCCTAAAATCTTCTATGCTTTCTGCAGATTTGCTTGCTAGTACTTTGCACAACATAATAGCATTTGGATATCTCTTTTCAGAATTTCATACCTATGAGGGAGCATAATAGCTTCAAGAAAATTCAATATTGAAATATGGTTCCTGCAACTTACCGATTACCCTTTTTCCCTTATCCTCTTCTTTCTGGTCTTGCTTTATATCTTCCCTTTGGTCTTCCTTCATCTCTTCATTTTCGTCTTCACTCTGTTCTTCCCTTTGTTCTTCCTTTGGATCTTTCTTTTCGACTTCCTTCTGCTCTTCTTCAGCAAGAGATAGTGCAATTGCAAGATCAACTTGTTCATCATCAAAGTCCGACCTTGCATCCTATGCAGAAACACCATAATCACAATCAGCAAATTAAATATAACTCTATGAATTAGGATCAGTATAAAACATAAATATATTTCACGTAGTACAAAATTTAAAAAGTTGTCATTACTGTAGATGATCTGGGCCTGTCCCAACCAGTGCCTTCCTCATATCTCTCAAGGCGTTGACCATGAATCGTTTTCTGCTTACTGCCATGGCTGAAACCTCTGCAAATCTTGGAAAGCCAACCCATAAGTCCCAGTACCTGAAAGTGGTAATATAAACACTGGGTCAACCGATGGAAATGATTCAGAAGAAGACACCGCAGAAAAGATAAAGAATTCCTCAATCATTCGAACAAAAGCAAAAATATATAGGCAGAATCTGGCAGGCAGTACAATTCACTGACAGCCCACAAGAACAAACTAATACGGAGTACAATGATTTTTCTTCAATATTTGTCGGTTGTATGACTTACTGTTGCCGACAAGGAAAACGTATCAGTACTTGCAGTAGGAGAATTAACAGAAGACAGAAGAATCTGAGAGGAACCAGATCAGACAAAAGCACCAAATTCAGCTTGGAAACATATCCATGGCCGGGAAGTAGGGATGACAGGAAAGACTTCCCACCATCCCCCACATAACCATGCCCGCAATCACTCCAACGAAGAATAGGATGAAAATTCCAAAATGCCCCCACAAAGAGAAAAACTGAACGAAAATTACTCTTCTGATAAAGATGGCTTTGGGGGGAGAAACGGAAACCTACACGAATCTAATACTGGTAGGAAAAAGTTGAATCTTTTTTACTTCAAACAAAAGATAAGCTGACGCAAGCTGCAAGAATAGCAGCATGAGTAGTTTCCTTGCTAAAGATTAAAAAAAGATCACAGATATGAAGGGTTCGACTTTTACGCTTCAAAATTTTGTGCTTTCTTGAAAATGGGTGTGGGGGTGGCCTCTCCTCTATTCTTTTACAACCATCGCACTACAAGTCAAGAAAACTCATTAGTTTCCAACTGCTAACCTTTGGGTATTAAAAAGGCTGAATTAGAGGGGTATTGCTGGGTCGCCCAGCGCCGTCCATAGTTCCATACTGTGATGTCTTTTCGTCTTTAATCACACCAACAAGAATTTCTTCCAAAACCACGTTACAATAGTAGTTGATTAAGGTATAGTTTTGTTTTGACTTTTCAAGTATACCCTTACTTTATGTCAATTCAAACAAAAAGTAAGGGTAGTTGTGACTTTTTGCTTAAAAGTGGTTTTCTTTTATAGAAATGAGAACTTCTTTTTGGGACATCCACAAAAGGAAAGTGGAAACTTCTTTGCGGGAGGGACGTAGTATAAAAAACAGCCAAGCACGGCAAAATATATGACAGTCGCAAACTCGCACAATTTTATATACTCTGTTATTATCTGGACGATTCCCCTTTGCCTCTTCTTCACTTTTTTATTGTTTATATCTAAAAATTTTAATTTCTACAGAAGCCGCACTCCAACAAATTCTCTGAAAATAAATGGAATGATGATATTAGTGGTGGACTCGGGCCGGGTCGGGCCCGCACCGGGCCTAAGCCCGGTCGGGTCGCCGGTTTGTATGACATGGGCCCGGGACCGGCCCGAGGGTTGGACGGGTCCGGTTCGGGCCGGGCCACTCGTCCGGGTCACGGGTCGGGCCACCCGCCGGGTCGGGTCGGACCGGTTAAAGATTTTTTATAATTTATATTTTATAGTTTATAGTTTTATACAAGTATTAAAAACAAACTTCAAGTGCATTTATTTGAAATGAAATAGGAACTACATTTGAAAATTAAAACAAACTTCAAGAGACAAACATTGTGTAAATTGTAATCAATCGGAACTTCCCGCACCTCCCGATCCTTTGGCTTTGTCACATGACTTCATATGCTTCATTGTCATCCCGTATCCGCCTGAAACCCCCATGCTACATTTTTTCCCGCATCATTTACAAGTTGCGTACCACATCCCGGTCTTCGGGTCCTTCTGCTTATCAAAATTATACCGTATAACGGCATCTTGATTTTCCATCTTAAGCATAAAGTAGATATATAAATAATAAATTAGTAGAGAATAGAGATTAGAGAGTAGGAATATTTGGAGAAGATGTGTAGTAAATTGTATAGAAAAAATGGAGTATCTATAGTTTTTTTGTACCCCTACCCCCCACCCCACCCCTAACCCACCCCTGGACCCCAGGAAGGCTCCCAACGGCTATATAGCCGTTTGGGTTCAATCACAATGGCTCTAAGGGCCTGTTTGGTAGCCAAAAGAAAAAAAAATAAAAATATAGTCGTTGACCCGAACCGGCCGGGCCGGGCCTTCCTTTTTGTGAACCGTGCCCGAACCGCTAGCCTCCCCCGGGCCGGGTAAAAGCCGGCACCGCCCATTCCGTAACCGGTCCGGGCCGACCCGGTTTGGTCCATCCCTAGATGATATGATAAAAAAGACCTCCTTTCACTGTCTCTTGAATTAATCTTAAACAACGTTAAGAGACCTTAAGGGAATACTAACAGAAATCTTAAAATCGGGGCCGACCCGGTTTGGTCCATTCCTTTTTTGGACGTCCCGTTAGAAGGTTCTCATTTCCTTTTTAGGAAACTATTAACAATCTTAAGTGATAAATTAATCATTAAATATTAAAAATAATACATTTATAACATCACGGTTATGAATACTAACTACATTATAATATATACTCGTACCTATTAAAATTATTTCTCAAAATATACTCGAAGTAATTTATTTAATTATTGCCTAAATAACCGTGTTGTTTTGCTATGGGAACATTCCAACGGGACGGAGGGAGTATTTTGGATGAGATGTTTCAAGATCAGAACCTTCACACTGTCGGAAAGAATGTCAAAATGAATTTCATTCTTTTTCTTGAGGAAATGTTTATTGTTTGCAGCAGTTGAATTAAATTTTGGCACAAGTATAATTTATTTTGAAAAGTAACTCTTGTTTTGAGTAGAGTTAAGTAACTTATAAACTTTGAAAAAGAGCTCGATTTTTCTTGAATTTTATGTTTAAATAATTAGCTACTCCGTAATAGAACTTCAATATTTCATATTTTAATTTACGAATCATGTTAAGTGGGTTCAATATACCATCGAAAAAAGCGGGTTCAATATTTCTACAAAGAAAGCGTAATTATAAATTACTTTCTTTATGTTGGAATAATTGTGAGTATTTCAAATGAATAAATTATCTAATAATATTATTTTATTAATAAATTAGTTATTTCTATATATTCCATTAAAAAATAAATACTATTTTATGTTCATTCAGTATTTCCAAATAGCATCATTACAACATCTACTTTATCCAATTAATATTGGAAGTGTGTAAATGGTTACGTTAGTGCTATTAAAATTATTTGATCATTGTTTTATGTTACAACGTTTATGTGTTCGAAATGAGCTTTAAAGTTTATGATCATTGTGCTCAACGTTTATAATTTTTAATACATAGCATGTTACTCATCTTTGTTGATATACAAACATTAAGATGGTTTTAATTGCAGCCGTTTCTAATCTGGCTAGCAACGTTCATGTTGCATGACTTGCATGTCTATTTATATATGTTCGGCCATGCTAGTTGATTGGCTGAGGAAAAAAAATAATTTTGAGCTAAAACATCCCCATATAGATTACAACTCTGCTGGATTAATTTTACCCTACTCTCGTTGTTTTGTTACCGGCTTATGCCGAAGAGCTCGTTTTATCTTGGGGAAAGGTTTTCGCTAGTCGGAAATACTTTCTTGAGGACAGCGTTTACGCTACTCGAGCTATATTATTTTCTAACGCTTTTTGCAGGTTTATCCGGCCAATTTCCACCAACACTTTAAAAGTTATCTATTTCTCCTCGCTAAATCTACTAAATATATTTTCAGTATATTTATCTTATCACTCAATTTCTTATCTAACATTTAACTTTTGATTTCGTGTGTAATAATCAAAACAAGTAAAATTGAGATTACTTTTTTTGGCCGAGTTTATTGTAGAGAAACATTTTAGCTATTTTCATATATATTTTCTTTATTTTATAAGCAAAATATTATCTACGTCTCAATGGACATTGTACCTTTTGAATTAGATGTGAAGTAAGAAAAGTGACAAAAAAATTTGGGACAATAAAAAAGGGAGTATATTTTAGAAAGTTGGCAAAGTCTAATGGGACATGAGGAGTATATTTAATTTTTTTATAATTCAGCATATTCAGCCAATTGGACTTTGCCATAATAATTCAAGTATTCAAGAAGTATTGAGATTGATATAAATTTGTAATTTTGAAAAATCAAAATGCAAAAGTGTAATTGTTACAAAAGATAAAGTTTGAACCCTTTTTTAATAAAAGTTAATGAGTAAGATAAATTTGTGAGTTTCATGATATTAGGAATATAGTAAGCCAATCATCTTATTTCAAATGAATGTATAGTAGTTATGAGTTCAGTGATTAAAAGAATTATTCTTTAGCAAAACATTGTAAAATCATGAGCACAATAAAATTGGTAAATATAGAATTAGGAATTCTAAAATACTTTCCCAATAAAATTGTTATATTTCCATTTCTAAGACTACTAATAATTGAGTGTTTTAGAATTGTTTGTAATGAATATGTTATATTTATAGAAATGAATTTTATGTTACACAAAGGAATTGTCCAAAAGAGGAGTAACAACTTTTAAGAATTAAAAAAAATGAGTACTATGTTTTTATTCCCTAAATAGGAGTTGTTAAGAAATTTTATTAATCCAAAACTTACAAAATAGATTCACTAAAGCAGGCGGCAACTAGGTTTATCCTAGGTTTTCATAGGTTCCGGCGGTGACTTTGTCATCTGGTCTGACAATTTGTGACTCCTTTAGCGGCAAGGGGACAGGAAGAGGTTGCATCCTAAGGCCTTATCACACGAACAAGGAAGGCACTATGGTATCAATGCCATCATTGATCGAATAATATCAAATCTTGGTTGGCAGGAAAAAGGGCAGATCTGGTCCAAACATGATAAAAGGTGATGCAAGAGACAGAAACAGGTCGGAGAAGGGAAGAGATGACGAGATTAACAAGCAAGACGAAGTATTGACGCCCCCGCCCCCTCTTGAACCACCACCTTGGAGTGACCGCAGAACCAAGGATCGGAGACCGACATTTCACGGTTGGATTCGGTCACCTGTGCTCTTGTGCTCTATTTTTCGTTTAAAGTTTTATTTTTTGATGTGTCGTACTTTTTTATTCGGTTAATAATTGTGAGTTGCGGGTGCTTTTTATTGTGAGAATGAGTGAAGGCAGTCAGGCTAATCTGGCCGATAATAGCTTCAAATCTCTTGCATGTTTAGCGATTAGTCTCGCTCATTTTTGGGTGGTCTGTTTTGTGTCTTGTCAGGTAAGGAGCCTATTGGCTATATGGAGTCTAGAGGGGGGGCTTAATTTATTAATGAAATTGGGATGTTTGCTTCTATGAATTTAATATAACCTTTTTCCATTCAAAAAAGGTAGGAGTAGCTAATGTTATGCTCGGGAAATAGAGAAAATTCCTGAAATGAGACTAAAACATAATAAAATGCACAAATGGGACCACTCTTTTTTTCTTCTTAAAACATGACTAATTCACTCCTAATTGGGGAAATTTTATAATATTAATAGGATCAAATAAGTCATATTTTGGGAACAAAACATGATTACTCCTATTTGTGTATTTTGTCTATACCGCGCTCATCGTACAACCGCCTGGATGATATCGGCACTGGCCTAGCACCTCCTTATGAGAGAGATGGGATGAGGTGTAGAAGGTGTTAGTAACGCAAGTGTTAAGAAGTGTTGGTGGTAATTTTTGTGTTGGGAGGAATGTAATAAAAAATCCAGAATGTTAGTAAATGTCGAGAGATGTTACAGGTAATCCTCCCAAGTCCCAACACCTTAAATCTATTGAATTGTAGAAAACAGAGGAATATTCAGAATGAAAAGCACACTTGTAA